CCCGTGGGTCCGCATTTCTCTGTGCGGGTGGTGCAGCTGCACAGATTTTCCTGCGGATCCGCAGCGGCAACACCCCCTCACAGATGTGAACCTAGCCTTAAAGTGGTCTTTTAGGCTAGTCTAAAGCAGTTGTAAACCCTTACATATGCTAAGTTAAGTGACAAGCACATAAGTGATCCAAGGAAATGAAAAAAAAAAAAAAAAAACAATTTCCCACATAAGTTGTACCTGTTTATCTGGGCCCTATCTGTTACACAGCTTCCTGAAACACACTGATCAAAGGCTTTTTCTCTGTTTTGGAAAGCAGGGAGTGGGGATCTGATGTCACACTGCTCTGCATAGAGCTCTGTGTAATCTGAAACTTTAGTGGAGGGAATGGGCACACCTTCCTCTACATCAGGGGTGTCAAATTCCATTTTATTGTCAGTCACATCAGCATTTTGGTTTCCCTTTAAAGGGCCAATTGTATCTGTAAGACTAGATGTTCAGAGCATTTCCCCCCCCCCTTACATCAGATGTCAAGATCCCCCCTCCCCTCCACCATCAGAAGTCAAGAGTCACATCACCCTCTCCTACATTACAGTGAACCCCCCTTACCTTGTGCTGTTGCCATGAAGAAGCTGGGGGCGGAGCTAGGAAGCAGAATGTGCAGGGTCTGGAGGAGGACTAGAGGTGGGCTGGAGTTTGCTGAATGCTGAGACCAGGGGAGGAGGGGACAAGGGGGTATTGTGGCTGCACTGAGAGGAGCAGGATCTGTAGGAGTTCTGTTCTCTCTGCTGCCGACTGCTGAGACGAGATGAGGTTGTAGAGGTCTGAGATAAGCCTCTCTGTGGCTGCAGGATCTGGCAGAGGAGCTCTGTCCTCTCTGCTACTGACTTCTGAAATGAGAGGGATGCTACAGGAGAGGTTAGAGGGCCACATGAAGTAGCCTGGTGGGCCAGATTCAGCCCGGGGCCTTGTGTTTGACACATGAGCTCTACATACTGTCATAGGGAAACATGCACACCTGAGTTTGTCAGTCGCCTTCTGTGTGTTGGAGGGGATGTGGTCCATCTCCCAGGATTGTCTGATGTCTACTGATGCACAGAGAAGTGATTCATGCAGATAACACAGCAAGGAGATAGCAGAGATAAGCGAAATGTTGTGTTTTGGATTGAGACAAGTACACAAGATAGAAGGATATGCTTTGTTCATTTTTCGCGTCTGAGGTTTACAAGCATTTAAGTACTGGATTGCTGCCTAACCTTCATTCTGAGTGCAGTGTAGCCAGAAAACCGAAGAACTTCCCCATCAAAATATTGACCAACTTGCAGGGTTGCTCAGCTCTTGGTGCTTCATATTAACTGGTGAGTTGGCCTGTTACAGTGATAGGCAAATAGATGAAGGGGTGGGCCAGAGCATGCAACTACGGGAATGGGTTGCCAATTTATTTTCAGAGCACCTGGGTTCTACAGACTTCTAGGAACTCTACAGGATAGCAGATGGAAACTCTAGTCTGATAGCATAAGCTGTAAGCACATACTGTTTTGATTTGGAACCCAAGTAGAGAATAGGCATGGCTCTCTGCATTCCTTAATGCATTGTTGGGGGCTAAAGAACTTTTAGGTGGGCATGAGTATTGTCATTGCAGACATTTTTTACTTGGAGTGTGATTGTAATGTGTTTTGTTGTCTAGGCATTGTACCGATACTAAACGAGCTTTCACCAAGCGCTTAATGTTAGAGAAACACATTCAACTCATGCACGGCATCAAAAGAACCTGAAGTGAAAGACAGAAGGGAAGTGAAAATCGAGGAGACATTGGAGGAGAAAGACTGTCCTCAGGTACATTTTTACTTCTGACTTAAAGGGAAAATATAATGGTTTGAGATCAATATTCTATTAATTTTTTAAAGGTATAACATTTTATTTTTTAAATAACTTTTTTTTTTTATTTATACAAAAATGTGTTTGACATAGAAACATTTAATACTATGATGTCCTTCTGTCTAAGGCAAGCAATAGATTATGCAATTTTCTTTCCTTCAACCCATGGTTGAAGGAAAGAAAATTGCTCAGTTTCCTTCATCTATGAAGTCTGTGTTTATGGGGGAATCCCTCCCACAAATCTATCGTGTTCTGCTGGTGGGGAGCCTTCCCCACCGGCAGAATACAATGATCACTGCTGGTGGTTATAGCAATATATCGACTTTGGTACGACCTACCTGCCTAGAGATTATTGAAATTTTGATCCATGTATGGATGACTTAAGAGTACTTGGACATACCTAAATGACTGCAGTCACTGTTTAGCTGATAATTTTTTGTCAGCTCTTTTGATATTTAGGTTAAAGTTTTTATCAAGCTGAGTGGTGTTGACCATCCTGGTGAATCGGCTGCAATTCAAGCCATGTATGGCCAACATAACATAATGGCTTTACTAAACAAAGATGATATAGCAGAATCTGTTTCCTTTTGAACTCTCTCTTTCTAGTTACAAGCTATGTACTGAATTGAACAGTGCAAAAAAGAGTGGATGGGCCATTAGTATGACTTATTCAACTCTGTGTAATTTGGGCTTCAGCTATTCAGCTATGTAAAACAGGGGACCTGTATTGTGAAAGCTGGCAGCCTTCAGCTGTTCTGAATTGTTCGGTCTCATGTCTCTCATCTTTCTCTTGGCAATGCCCCATAGATTCTCTATGGGGTTCAGGTCAGGCGAGTTTGCTGGCCAATCAAGCACAGTAATCCCACGGTCATTGAACCAGGTTTTGGTGCTTTTGGCATTGTGGGCAGGTGCCAAGTCCTGCTGGAAAATGAAGTCAGCATCCCCATAAAGCTCGTCTGCGGAAGGAAGCATGAAGTGCTCCAAAATCTCCTGGTAAACAGCTGCGTTGACCCTGGACTTAATGAAGCACAGTGGACCAACACCAGCAGATGACATGGCTCCCCAAATCAACACAGACTGTGGAAACTTCACACTGGACTTCAAGCATCTTGCAGTGTGTGCCTCTCCATTCTTCCTCCATACTCTGGGTCCTTTGTTTCAAAAAGAGATGCAAAAGTTGCTCTGTTTTTCTTTAGCCCAGGTAAGACACTTCTGACATTGTTTGTTGTTCAGGAGCGGCTTGACAAGAGGAATACGACATTTGAAGCCCATGTCCAGGATCTGTCTGTGTGTGGTGGCTCTTGATGCACTGACTCCAGCCTCAGTCCACTCCTTGTGAAAGTCCCCAACTCTTTTGAATGGTCTTTTCCTGACAATCCTCTCCAGGCTGCGGTCATCCCTGCTGCTTGTGCACCTTTTTCTTTCACACTTTGCACTTCCACATAACTTTCTAATAATGTGCTTTGATACAGTACTTTGGCAACATCTTTTGCAATTACCGTTTGAGGCTTTCCCTCCGTATGGAGGGTGTCAATGATGGTTTTCTGCACAACTGTCAGGTCAGCAGTCTTTCCCATGATTGTGATTCCTACTGAACCAGACTGAGAGACCATTTAAAGGCTCAGGAACCCTTTGCAGGTGTTATGGCTTAATTAGCTGATTAGAGTGGAACACTTTGAGCCGAGAATATTGCACCTTTTCACAATATTCTAATTTTCTGAGATTGTGGATTTGGGGTTTTCATGAGCTGTAAGCCATAATCATCACAATTATGACAAATCACGGCTTGAACTATCTTGCTTTGCATGTAATGAGTCTATCTCATATATTAGTTTCACCTTTTAAGTTGCATTACTGAAAAAAATAAACTTTTGCTTGATATTCTAATTTTTCGAGTTTCGCCTGTATGTGCTCCCTATAAATCAGGTTTGACATGGTTTTCAAGCTCACAGTTTTAATAGGTCATCTAGACTGACTACCTAGATTGGATCCCACATATTCAGCAATAGAGTATCCCGAAGACAGAGAAATTCTCCCTTCCACCTAACAAGGGGGAGACGACCCTCCTGGAAGAGGATGGGGGAAATTCTGCAATGTTTCTTTAAAAATCATTCAGTGTATTTTTATGTGCAGCTTATGTATATACCTCAATATTTCTTCATATAGGCCTCCTTTAATCCTCTACACAGCAGAACTAGTTGAGGAAGAGCCAAAACTAGGAACTAGTTGGCTCTACTGCTTTGCACAGTGGTGTCAGAGAATGTGCTTACATGAGTAGAGCGCACAGGGATGACTTCTTTAGTGTGCAATTGCTCCATTACTGTCTAATCATCCTTGGTCATCTAAAGGAGGAAAGATGACCAAGGAAGCAGAACATCAGCAGGGAAATTTTTTCATATAGACACCCATCGAATGATTGAATATTGATATAATCCCACAGGATGAATGCAGCTATAAGACTAAAGTAGGGCATAATTTTGAGTATTTAACGAAGATCCTGAGAATATGATTTTTCCTTAAGTTCCACTTTTAAAGCGACCATCTCAGGTTCTTAAAACATGGTGCTGAGATGTCCTTGCAAGTGAAGAGCTACTGTACTCGTGTTTTCAATGACCCTTGTCACCTGCCGCTCCTTCGTTCCAACACTGCAGCCTCCATCAGTGTCTTCAGCATTTGACACTTTCAGGAAAGTTGGATTTCTATGCCCCCCAGCTTGCACTGTGCCTCCTTTTTCCAACCTCTACATCACTAAAGGGCACACCAGTGAGGCCAGAGGATGGAATCGAGGTGTGCACTGATGAAGGCTGTAGTGTTGAAATGGAGGGGAGGAAGGAGGCCCAGGACTGCTGGAGGTCGGGTTTCTCAGAACCTGACAAGGTTTTTTCCTCATCAAATAATCTCAAGCTTGATCAACACTCGTCCTGCTTCTTCTGCCTTTACAACCTCTCTGTTTATACAAAAATGGTGGAAGTAGAGCCTAATTTAACTTTTCCAAGAAAGTTTGAGATTTGTATCTACATTTACAACATCTTTATGCATTTTTTACACTCCTTACTGAATATTGCGTTACCCAGGTTTGTGTCAGGGTTATGTTCAGGCTATTGAATCTCATGGTGTTTTATTAAATGTTTTTTTCAGATGCCTGCACAAAAGCGTAAGCTGGAAGAACCAGTTATGGAATTCCGGTCTCCCCGGGGAGCCATCACTCAGCCCCTGAAGAAACTGAAGATCAATGTCTTCAAGGTCCACAAGTGTGCTGTGTGTGGCTTCACGACAGAAAACCTTCTTCAGTTTCATGAGCACATACCCCAGCACAAATCTGATGGCTCCTCCTACCAGTGCCAGGAATGTGGCCTCTGCTACACCTCACATGTGTCCCTCTCCAGACACCTCTTCATCGTTCACAAGCTCAAGGAGCCGCAGACCTCTGGCAAGCAAAATGGTTCCAAAGAGGATGCTCAGCAGGAGAATAAACCTGCAGCTGGGAACGAAGCTGCACATAGCCTAACATCTGACAAAACATGCAAAGTTTGCTCCAAAACATTTGAAACTGAAGCTGCCTTAAATACCCACATGAGGACTCATGGGATGGCTTTTATAAAGTCTAAAAGGATGGGCTCTTCAGAGAAGTGAGTACAGCATTTCTGTCCTGCAAAAGTGTGATTAAAGAAGATCTGTCTTCTATATAAGGCTAAAGCAGCCATTTTATGCATTGAACCAATACTCAAGGGGTACTTCAATAGTAGATTTTTCTTGCTGTACAGGGAAAAGTACGGGGCTCTTGAATGCTAGGAGCGAATCCAGGTCCTACTCTTGCATTTGTAGTCCAATTACTCCCCACACCCTTCCAGTCATCACTTGCAGTATTCATTGCAATGCCCTTCTGGCAGCTAAGAGATGAAAATGAGGGCAGAGAAGACGAGCAAGTGAGTTTCATAGTTTACATTTGAGTAGATACCTTCTTCCTACGGAAGAATGTGTATCAGATAGGTGTGGGTTGTGACCTCTAATGAGGTCGGATTGTGGGTACTAGTAATCCACCTCAAACACTCCTATGCTGGAATCATTGCAGCTACAGAATTGTAGCTACTGCCATCTCAGAAGGCCAGATGAAGACTGCTGCCTCTGCATTAGTCATTAGGAGGCCTTGTGGCATTACCTCTGTCCCTATAGAAGCTTCTAGTAACTTTCAATGACAGGAAACCAGAATGGGTGGGAGACTTTCAATTCAAGCACGCAAGGATGGCTGCTTGGGACAATAGTCACCTGATGTTGTCTAGCCCTAGGGATACGGTTTCCAAGACCACACCTCCATGTTTATGCAGCAGGGAAACTCCATTCCCATAGTCTTTTACTGCTTTAGGAAGGTGTTCATTATGACTGAGTCAGCTCGTTAAAGGAAGTGCTACTGAAGCTGTTGGAATTATGGGTATTTTGGGTAGGATTGGTTGGCCACCATTTGTAGGAATAGACCACTAAAAAGCAGTTGGGAGAACACCAGATTGGATACTGGCAATATGAGAGGGTAGTCTTTGGAGAACTTGTACTTTCAACAATACACTAAATATCTAAATTTTCCCTTTGCTAGCAAATAATGGGCTGCGACCTCCATGATTATTGGTTCACGTTAAAAGATGGTCCCCACTATTTCACCAACACATCCACTTTTTAGGATCGGCTCGAAGTACCTTTAAAAAAAAACAACCAATAGTTGATGGACTAACACGATGGAATCACCCCATGGCAATACTTACTTTTCATCGTCACTTACCTGCCTCTTCAAGATACTGATACACTGGCCCTACAAGAGCAGTGTTCAATGTAGAATTCACAACAGATGTAAATATAGACTTTTTTTTATACTCTTTGTGACTGTATTGATGTAAAAAAAAAAAGTTTTTTATATGTGATATGATCTAGGTGATTTAAAGGGTACCTGTCCCAAAGCAAAATACTCATGTGAGAAGCCTCGCATAAAGGGTGCACACTATAGCAATGTAACTTTCAATGGGTTCAGCTTCACTGCCCTGGTAATGAAGTGCAACCAGTAGTCAGAATGGCTCCTTGCATCTGAGGCTTCTTACACAGGTGTGGCAAAGTACCTTTTTAATATTGTAGTTGACCTAGTTGTACAGATGTGCTACATAGGTATTGGGGTTATATAATAACACAGTGCTAAAGGTAATAGCACACAGTAACCCATTGCAACCAATCAGTGTACTGTGCTGGCAGTTGGACCTAGTTTCTGTTTGGTTGATATGGGTCAGCTGTACTTTTTTGTTTTATGTGTGTTTACATAGTTCTGCCAGTCCTAAAGACATAAGAATGAGAGCTCAGCTGCATGAACCAGGACAAGAGATCCTGGGAGAATATGAAAACAGGCACTGGAAGAAAGGGTAACCTGCACCCAGCTCAACTGTCCTTTTTGTGGGTAAAAACAGCAGGGTGCCTCAAACCTGCCTATTCATGCAATCCCAAGAGCAGAGGTCATGTGTATTAACCAACAACCTATCAGGTCATTATGCATTCTGATTGGTTGCAGTGGCACAAAGCCCTGTGCATTGGTCTTTTCCTATATTAATATACAATACTTGTTTTGCACATTCCCAGGTTTGTTGATTGTTCTCAGAAATGTAAAGCGCCCAGAGTAAGCTGCTGTTTGATAAATAGTGACTGAATTTTTGAGTATTGCCACAAAGCACCAATGCACCTCATGTACAGAAGTTTTCAGGTAGAATGCTTATAGGAAACAGCCTCTCCCACGTCTTTCCTACATATCAAATCTAGGATGTATCTTTTCTACCAAGCTCCCCATCACAGATTAGTTAAGACTCCATCTAATTATAGATGGACCAAGAACACAAACCTGCAAAGCATTTTTTCTTTCAGTCTCATGTGAGCCAGTAAGTGAAATTGGCCAATACAGTAGATTGCTAGGATTTTTTTTTTTCCAAAATTGCTGTTTATTTCTAAGCTGGTCTCCTAACACCATTGTGATTTCAGAAAAAAAAAATACCCTGTCACATAAAAAATGCCTATGGCCTTTTCCAAAGAATAACCCATCCTATCCCCACTACCATGGCCATGTGGCGATCTGCGGTGCACTTCTAACCTTGGAAGCTTACGTCTCTGGCTCCTTGCTTGAAATGTCTACCAGGTACTAGAGCTGCATTACCCAATCAACAATGTGTAACCAGGTTCTGCCAGTAGATGGTGTAGCTGTGATTTGTAGACCTGTACATACAGTCAGGTCCATAAATATTGGGACATCGACACAATTCTAACATTTTTGGCTCTATACACCACCACAATGGATTTGAAATGAAACAAACAAGATGTGCTTTAACTGCAGACCGTCAGCTTTAATTTGAGGGTATTTACATCCAAATCAGGTGAAGGGTGTAGGAATTACAACAGTTTGCATATGTGCCTCCCACTTGTAAAGGGACCAAACGTAATGGGACAGAATAATAATCATAAATCAAACTTTCACTTTTTAATACTTTGTTGCAAATCCTTTGCAGTCAATTACAGCCTGAAGTCTGGAACGCATAGACATCACAAGGCGCTGGGTTTCATCCCTGGTGATGCTCTGCCAGGCCTCTACTGCAACTGTCTTCAGTTCCTGCTTGTTCTTGGGGCATTTTCCCTTCAGTTTTGTCTTCAGCAAGTGAAATGCATGCTCAATCGGATTCAGATCAGGTGATTGACTTGGCCATTGCATAACATTCCACTTCTTTCCCTTAAAAAACTCTTTGGTTGCTTTTGCAGTATGCTTTGGGTCATTGTCCATCTGCACTGTGAAGTGGCATCCAATGAGTTGTGAAGCATTTGGCTGAATATGAGCAGATAATGTTGCCCGAAACACTTCAGAATTCATCCTGCTGCTTTTGTCAGCAGTCACATCATCAATAAATAAAAGAGAACCTGTTCCATTGGCAGCCATACATGCCCATGCCATGACACTACCACCACCATGCTTCACTGATGAGGTGGTATGCTTAGGATCATGAGCAGTTCCTTTCCTTCTCCATACTCTTCTCTTCCCATCACTCTGGTACAAGTTGATCTTGGTCTCATCTGTCCATAGGATGTTGTTCCAGAACTGTGAAGGCTTTTTTAGATGTCGTTTGGCAAACTCTAATCTGGCCTTCCTGTTTTTGAGGCTCACCAATGGTTTACATCTTGTGGTGAACCCTCTGTATTCACTCTGGTGAAGTCTTCTCTTGATTGTTGACTTTGACACACATACACCTACCTCCTGGAGAGTGTTCTTGATCTGGCCAACTGTTGTGAAGGGTGTTTTCTTCACCAGGGAAAGAATTCTTCGCTCATCCACCACAGTTGTTTTCCGTGGTCTTCCGGGTCTTTTGGTGTTGCTAAGCTCACCGGTGCGTTCCTTCTTTTTAAGAATGTTCCAAACAGTTGTTTTGGCCACGCCTAATGTTTTTGCTATCTCTCTGATGGGTTTGTTTTGTTTTTTCAGCCTAATGATGGCTTGCTTCACTGATAGTGACAGCTCTTTGGATCTCATCTTGAGAGTTGACAGCAACAAATTCCAAATGCAAATAGCACACTTCAAATGAACTCTGGACGTTTTATCTGCTCATTGTAATTGGGATAATGATGGAATAACACACACCTGGCCATGGAACAGCTGAGAAGCCAATTGTCCCATTACTTTTGGTCTCTTAACAAGTGGGAGGCACATATGCAAACTGTTGTAATTCCTACACCGTTCACCTGATTTGGATGTAAATACCCTGAAATTAAAGCTGACAGTCTGCAGTTAAAGCACAGTTCTTGTTCATTTCATTTCAAATCCATTGTGGTTGTGTATAGAGCCAAAAATGTTAGAATTGTGTCAATGTCCCAATATTTATGGACCTGATTGTATTCTAGGGCCAAGTTAGACAACAGCCAATTAACCTACCAAAATGTCTTTGGAGAGTGGGAGTAAACTGAAATACCTGAAGGAAACTTATGCAAGCACATGCAGAGTGTCCTGGTTGTGACTCAAGGACCTCACTGCTGCAAGGTATAATTGCTATCCTCTAAGCCACTGTGTGGTCCTGGCCAAAGGGTTCTTCTTTCTAAACAAAGCAACCAATCAGAATCAAATAAGCTGAACTCAAACCAGTCAACGATGGATTCTGATTGGCTGACATGAGCTCATTCAGTTTTATTATAACTGAACCTGGGACATGGGAAATAAAAGAGGTTCTTATTACTGATCTCCCCTGCCTGAACGTCAGTGGTCTAGAGGCTATTAAAACAAGAATGCAGTCCAGACATTCTGACATTACTGGCTTCATGCTTGTTCCTGGCCATTCCTACTGAATGTCATAGAGGGGTAACTGGCATTTTCAGGATGAGATCAGCAGTTTTAATGAGGGACGCAAGAAGAAAATAACTCTTTATTGGATAGAGCTGGTAATGTTTATAGAATCCTTCCAGGAGTCATACACATGTGGGGGAATTTTATTTAAATCCTATTTTATTGCCTTAGAACA